AAACATTTTTTAGAGTTAAAAATTTTAAGATATAAACTTTATAAATCTATAATTAGTGGCATTTTTGTAAATGAACACCCCTAAATGGCATTCTTGCAAATGTGCACACAAAAAATGGCATTTTTGTAATTGCCTGTTTTTTTATTTGTAAAATTAAGAAAATAGGCCAACTATTTTAAAATTAAAAAAGTAATCTTTTTTTAAATGGATGAAATGTGATTAATCAATTCTGAAATTAACTAGAAACTAATACATTTTTTGAAAATATCATTATGCAAATTTTAGCCCATTTTCTTAATTATAAAAGATGTGACTTATTTCTTTAACTAGAATATAGCTCGCGCGATGCGCGAGTTTTTCCTTTACAATTTTATTAAATTTAATGATAAAATAATATTAATTAATCTAGTATCTTTATATTTACAGTTAACAAAAAACAATATTTTATAGATATAGAATAATATTTTATTTGAATTTTTCTTATTTGTATTGTATGAAAATACGAAACGATGTTCATTTGCTCGATTATTTCAATATCAATAGTTCCTAATTATCTGAAAATAAATATATTTGTTTGAAACTTTGTTATGTATACATATATATACTTTTGTAGGTTTATAGATATTATCTTTCTCTTTAGACCTTCAGCCTCCTAACAATCACGTTATTTTAATAACTAACATCAATTATTTTATTTTATTTTTTTCTCATGTCGTTTATCTGCATTTTCACTCATTTGTTTTTATATTTATATTCATTTACATATTTTCAAAATTTTAAACTAAATATGTAAAACTTTATCTTTATTATAATGTTTTTATTACTCTCAAAATAAATACAATGTAAATGAAATATATTTGACGGAGAGGTGGGGGGACGGTGAGTGGTCGGAGAAGGTAACAGATCCACAGCGAGAATTGTGCAATCCGAGTCCTGTCGGTTCCTGTGTCAGTTCCGACTCCTTGCTCGGTGAGAAAGAGATCAGTTGCGACTGGGCAAGAGATGAGTCTCTGAGACGACGGAGCATTCGATGTGCCGGAGAAGAGCAGGTCCGCCCTGGTGGATAGTGGTGGTGATAACCAGATCGAAGACTAAGGGATGGCAATAGTCTTCGAGAGCACTTCGGCTCACTCCTTGAGATCGGAGGGCGATGACGAGGGTGCGAGTGGCAGATCCGGAGTCAAACTCCGGCGTTTATCTCCGGCACCAGAGTAAGGTGGTTGAAGTCGGGCTTCCGAAGAATTTGTGGGTGAAGCGTGGTGGAAGCCTGAATTTGTGCGGTGGTGGTGGCCAGCGGAGGAGACGGAGGAGGTGAATTGAAATGTGGAATAAAGGGTTGAACTTCTTCGGTTTCTAGCCGAGAATAGATCCGAACCACACGGGCCCATAATTGACACAATCATCTTGTTCTTAGAGAGAACAAGCCATAACCATAACATTGTACCTTCACCGCCGGTAGGTGCAGAGCGTAAAACCGGCGAGAAGCAGAGTAATTCAAAAGAACGACAAGTGAGAGCAGTGGAGAGACCAACGTCCAACGCCGGCAAGTAAAGGCTCCACCGGCGTCGGAATCGGAGATGCCTATAGTTTCCTCGATTACTGGACCCTCGGGAGAGCGGCCGCTTGTAATAGGGTTTATCTTTCTACCAAAACAACAATTTAATATCAATAATTCAATATTAGATTTGAAAAAAAAAAATGAAATATATTTTTAATGTAATTTTATATTTACAACAATAAAATACTCAAA